GCCGAGGGGCTGGGATGGAGGCTGCTTGGCGCGCCGTCACCAGCCATGGGGTGTAGATCTTCACATGGGACAGGGGCAAAGAACCATGCAGGGAAAAAGGCTAAAATCAGCGATTCCCATCAACGTTTCCGGCTTGGTGCTGTAAATCACCATGATGGGAATCAATCCCTCTTGGTGCAGGCAGGGGGTCGTGGCTGCCAGGGGCCGGGGGAGGAGGCCAGGCGTGGGCAGAGACCTGGGGGCCCTCGAGCCGGGATCCCCACGGGGATGGGTGCTCAGGGCTGCAATGCTGATGTTAGAGATGCTTTCCTAACCTGGGGGCGTGGGGTGGGGACCCTGCAAGGCTGTCCCAGGAGTGCCCACCATTGCGTAGCATGGCATGGAGAAGGAATCAGGAGCCTTGGCCGCAGCCACATCCATGTCTGTGACATTGTGTGTCATCCCCCTTGGCATCACCTTCCTTCTCCCAGGCGGTGGGCAGGAGCTTGGTAAACCTTTCCTGAGGAAAGCTGCTTCCCTGCCCCACCATGTGCCCCTGAAGCTGCCGATGCCTGACGTTCCTGGCTGTAAAGACTGGCATGGGGGGGATGCGGGCGCATCGCCCCGTCCTGTGTTTTGCCGCCTCGCATTTCCCATTGCCCCTCTCACCAGTGCCTGGGCGACGTGCAGGGGCCCACGTCTCTCCTGCCACTTGCAAAAGCGCTGATATAATTAGAGCTGTGGCTGAGGGAATTACCAGAGCATCTGCCTGCAAAGCCCAGGTCCCTTGCCTGGGGAGATGGCCGGGTGCTGCCATCGGGAGCCCTCGCCCCTGCAATCCCCCTGGGCATGGGACAGATGCTTGGCCGGGGTGAGGGTCTCTGCACTGCAGTGTGCTGTACTGTGGTGGGACTGCTTGAAACTGGGATTTGCAGGGGTTTGCTGTCCAAAACTGGAATTTGCCCTCACTTTAGGGTTGTCTTCCGTCATGCAGGGGTCAGGCAGTGTCCTGCCACCCTGTCTGCGCATTTGGGACTGTGCCCTCTGCCTCTTGCATCATCTTGTCCCCTGGGACTGTGCACTCTGCCTCTTGCGCCATGAGCACGCCCTAAATAAATGCCCCGGGGGCTGCATGCAGGACCCCATTCCCCTTGTTCCTCGGTGATGCTGAGGCTGCCCCTGGCCATTTTCCAGGCCGAGGACACAATGGGACCCGTGTGGGACACAGCAAAGAGCCAAGGACATGGTGGGAGCTGTGTGGGGGGCAGCTGGGCGTGGGCAAAGTGGGACCCGTGTGGGGCGTGGCAAGGGGCCAGGGGCACAGTGGGACCCGTGTGGGGCATGAGGACAAGCTGAGGGCAACAGTGGGACCTGTGTGGGGCACAGGGAGGGGTGAGCAAAGCAGGTTGTACATAGAGCACTGCGAGGGGTGGACAGATTTTGTCACAGTGGGGCTGGGGGAGCAGCAGGACCTGCATGGAGAGGGGGGTGCACAGGGGACGAGGCAGGAGGGGAGGGTCGCGGGCCACCCTGGGGCCAGTGGGGGGGCTGCAGGGCAGGGTGGGGGGGTCATGGAGTTCCCCTTCCCCGCCGCCCAGCCTGGGCACCCTGTGCCAGGGGGAGAGAGCCTCACCTCGGTGGGACGGGTGGTGTGAGGGGGGCTGGGGCCACCCTACCCTCTGCGTTAGTAGGATCAGGGCGTCCCCAGGGGCAGGCGGGACCCAGCCACCTCCTCGGAGGCTGAAGGTGATGGTGTGGACGTGGCTGGCTGAAGGGGCAGGCGGGCGG